GTGTGTGTGTGTATAGACACACATATAAAGGAGAGAAAGATGCATATATACATATAAAATGTGTTCCATTAACTTGGACCAATTTTAAATGTGAATTAAGTTTAAAATCGGTTCAATTACTTGGAACACCCTTTATATATATATATATATATATATATATACATAATTAAAAAAACAAACTGACAAATTAACTATTTGTCAAAAACGATTATATGTATCAAAATCGCTCAATGAAAATTCAAATAAGAAAGATATCCCACAATTTAAGATAGAAAATTTTATACAAACATCAATCTTACTATATATATATATATATATATATATATATATATATATATATATATATATATATATATATATGACTTTCTACATTACCATCATCATCAATATTATCATTATTAGAAAATTTTATACAAACATCAATCTTCCCTATATATATATATATATATATATATATATATATATATATGACTTTCTACATTACCATCATCATCAATATTATCATTATTATTATAAACTACTGTCTTTTCTTCTAAGTACTGGAGTAGGTCAAGTGGTACCAAGTGTATACACCTCAGCATTATTATTAATATTATTATTATTACTACTACTACTATTATTATTAACAAGCAAATAGGAAGAGAAAATTCTTACCAAAAATTAAATATACACCGCAATACGTCAGATAAATATTTGGGATATTTTTTTTTTTTTGTAAAAAAACTAAAATTTCACGTGCCTTTTGTGGATCATAGCTGGCTTTTTTTTTCTCTCTTTTTTTTTTTTTTTTTTGTCTCGAAAATTTTTTTTGAGCGTGTTTCTTCCTTTTAGGAGGTAATATTTCTTTTCCTTTCTTGTGTGGTAATTTTTAAAAAAAAAAAATTTTTTTTTTTTCACTTTTTTTTTTTTTTTTTTTAAATATATCCAGGAAAAAAGAGAAAACTGGGCCTCCGTGTATTCGTTATTTTCCTTTCCCTCTCTTCCTCTTTCTTGCAGCGTATAAATATATATCTGTATGCATGCGCTTTTTACTCACTTGCAATGGTATGGCTGTACATGTGTATGCATGAGTACACATATATACATATATACACACACACACACTCACACATATATATATATATATATATATAGATAGATAAATATATAGGAATATATATATATATATATTTATATATGTATATATATATATATTTATATATACATATATATATATATATATATATATATATATATATAAATTTGCAGTTATTTTTGATTGCTGTTGAAAGGATGAGAGACCCAAGTGTTTATCATTTTACATGTTGTCTTAATCTTTCTTCTTAACCTCCTCTCTTTCGTTTACTTTTTTCATTATCTGAATTACATTGTTTCGGTAGCAGCAACAATGTCATTGGTATCAGTAGCAGTGGCAGTAGTAAAAAAAATAATAATAATAGTAATAATCAGCAGCAGCAGTTTTAGTGTACTCCCAGTCGTTTTAGTATTATTACTATAATTATTATTATTATATATTATTAGTTTTTTTTTTTTTTTTCCTAGCAGCAGCTGAGCTGAGATTGTAGTAAAGTCGGCGTCTAAACATGGGAGGTAGAAGCTACAGCAGTTCCCGCATCTGAATTGAATGCTACGTTATGCAGGTATGTTGGCAATGATAGTTTGAAGAAGCACGATCCATTGGTTAGAGCCGATGTTTTCTGTCGGTTGTTGTTGCTGTTGGTGGTGGTGGCGGCGGAATTGGCGGTGCTGGTGATACCTACCAGTGGTTGTGGCGGTAGAATCGGTTGCAGGGAGAGCGGCTGCGATTGCAGAGAGCAGACAGTTGATACTGTCTGACGATACGGCCGCACTGTTGCAGAAGGCAGTACGGATGTTGTGCGCTTGCCCCTCCTGCCCGGCTACTGAAACACACACACAGACACACACACACATACACAGAGGAAGACTCATGCCCCCACCCACCCAACAAAACAGTTGCAAGTGCAATAAACATTCATTATGTTTATAGGAGTAGTGGCAGTAATAAATGGAGGGTGAAAAGGGGGGGGAGATACTAGTAGTAGTAGTAGTTGTAGTAGTAGTAGAGATGTTGCTATTTATTTGAGGATAATTTTGATTTTAGAAGCATACAAAATCCATCATGACCGAGGAGTGATTTTATTGATTATAGAGTAAGTAGATGACCAAGTTTTGTTCAAAGAGAGGCTCAGAGGACTGGCGAGGGGACTAATAACAAGCACAGCTTATGAATTTATAAACAAAAAATGGGGGAAAAAAATCATAATTTTTATAAAAAATTACCTTGTAAAAAAAACATAAACAGTGAATGTCTTAAAAAACATAGATTTTATAAGCAATTATCTTCGCAAAAACTATGATTATTTTTCCCTTTTTTTAGTCACTTTGTTCGTCAGTCATCGCAGCATATCATACAACTCAATTAAGACCCCTTTTTTAATTAAAAAATGTAAGTAATCAAAATAAAGACTGTAATTAACAGTTTTCCATGGATACATTGTTGATATCTACATTGGGCACAATGCTGAATGGAAGAAAACTGTGTGTGATGGAAGATAGTGTAGCACCAATTTTCCAAGTAGAGAAAAATTGAATATTACTTCAGCTTAAATCCTAACAGCTACCTCTAATGAGAAATCTATCTATCTATCTATCTATCTATCTATCTATCTATCTCAATCTGTTTAGATCTATCTATCAATCTATCTACCCCCTCTTTCTCTCTCTACTCTCTCTATATATATTTATTATATATATATATATATATATATATATATATATATATATATATATATATATATATATGTATATATATGTATCTTTCTATCTAGATGCATACATGTATAGACAGACATAATACACAGTATCTATCTATCTATCTATCTATCTATCTATCTATCTCAGTCTGTTTAGATCTATCTATCAATCTATCTACCCTCTCTCTTTCTCTCTCTCTTCCTCTCTCTCTATATTATATATATATATATATATATATTTATAATACATATGTATTATAAATATGTATATGTATCTTTCTATCTATATGCATACATGTATAGACAGACATAATACACAGTATCTATCTATCTATCTATCTATCTATCTATCTATCTATCTATCTATCTATTCATATTTATCTATCTATATAGCTATATATATATATATATATATTTATATATAACAGTAGGAAGGTGCATGTTTTTTAAACAAGATTTCTCAAATATTCAGACTGCTAGATGTAAATAAATATACTGTTTAATAAATAAATAAAAAACAGTGTCTACACAAATATAGATTGCTTCAAGAATTTAGGAAAATTCTTGCTGAAAATACATCTGTATTTTTTCATGAAAATAATAAACCTAAAATAAAAATTCTTGATGCTATCTATATTAAAAAAAAATGAAAACAACCCTTAATAAAATTAATTATGAATACTGTGCAAATATTTTAAAATGTTTACAGTAGATAGTTTAAAATATCTAGGTTTTAACTAATAGTTTTAAATAGTTTTTTTTTGATAAAATATATGTAGGCATTTTAATAACTTAGTTACCTCCCTTGGCGTTTGTTGCATGTTTACATCATAACATTTAAAATTGTACAGTACGTAAACTTAGTATTTTTCATTTCATTTCACATAAAAATTTAATTTTCAGATGAATGTGACAATTTTGTTTTCTAAAAATGATGAACACAAATATATATATATATATATAAATATAAATATAAAAGTGAACATTGAAGTCAATACTCAAAGGTGACAGGCTGTTTCATGCAAGGCACAATCATCAGGATTAAACGAAGAAAGAAAATCACAATATTGATACATATTTTTTTAATCCTATCTAAGCTTTCGGCTTACATAAGCCATTATCAAAGATGACAATTACATTACAATATATTAAGCAATACACGGACAAGACAGTGATGATAGTCTGTTTCTGTTTACATGGAAGATTTCCAAGCAATGACAAACTCGTGCATATAAGACACTGGAAGTGAAAATCGCACTGCAGCTCATGACGAGAGTGAATTCGAGAAGTATTATGTATGGGGAGCTGTTGGTATAAACCAATGTCTTCTGTTTTAAATTATAGGCATTTAAGAATATTTGTGGAGATTTCATAGTTTATTTTGTTCAGGTAAGGTTTCAACTGTTTGATGTATATAGCTTCAAGAATTTTTAGTTTTTGTTTATTGTTTTCATGTTTAAGTATAGTTGTGTTTTCAACAAGGATTTTCCGGAACAGTGTATACGGCCAGGCATGTTGTTTTAAATGGCTAAAAATATTAGAATTATCATTCAAATGTAGAGTCAGGGGTCGTGAAAGTGAGTTTGTGGTGTGGCCAACATAAATATATGTTGATTTTTTGCAATGTGCGTGTGTGTGTGTTTTCTTTGTTGCAATAAAAACATGACAAAGGGTTTTCCATCAGAATTTCTGTGATGAGGAATTATCGTTGTTTGCATTATTTATAATTGCACCATTATCCTTGTCTTTGTTGTTATTATCACATTGTTCCGTCTGGATTTTCTTCAGATGCCTGTAAATGCAGGAAACCTTCAGGAAATTCAATATATGGGGCTCAATTGTTCTGTTGAGCATGTCTAGGGATATCTTGTCTCTTTTCCAGTACTGTTCAGGTATTTCTCAGCCGATTTCCACAGAATTTCAATCTGTACTACCCAGGCTAGGGACTGAACTCACATCTGCTATGTTAAAGTGTTGGTTCACAAATATATCCATAGAATTGTACTTGAATTGAATCAAACACAATTTCAAATGTGATGATTTAGAAGTAAATAAGATAAAGAGAAAAAAAAAACACTTTTCTATCGTCATCATCGTCATCATTGTCGTCATTGTTGTCATCATCATCACCACCACCACCACCACCCTCATCAACATCATCATCATCAGGTGTGGTCATGGAGTCACAGCACAGCTGAGCACCTGACCATTTCCACTTACAACCAAATTGAAACACCGGTTCCCGTACAATCACTGAAGTTAAGCAACTTCAAGCTTGGTGAGTAGCTTGATGGGTGACCACTTCAGAATACCAGGTGTTGTAAGCTTGGACTTGTGGCTGGTGAAATGGATAACGGCTTGGAAATTTTATTCACTGAGCCAAGTTTCAATTTCGGTTAGGTTCATTATATTCATTTACATGCAAATATCATTGGAAAAGGTGCAATCAACCCCTTCCTATCCCCAGCTAGGGGTTAAATAGTATGACTTGTACCACTAAATAATTATTAACTAAGAAAAGAAAAGAAACGGAAATAATTCTTACAATTTAAAAATACTATCTGGCTTTAAATAACCTGTAATGGGTTGATAACCCATAGAAAACGAATCAGTCAATCAATGACCATTTCCCTCTACACATCTACTTTGAAACCTAGTACTACCCGCCACATGGTGTGGGTCATTGGTGACTAAACTGTTTTCTCCAAGAGTCTTTTCGTGTGAGGAAGCTGGTTAGACACACAGCAGGAATAAAAACAAGGCCTGTCAAAGCTGGGCTGAACCTTCTTGTAGGGTTAATGGACTCCATAGTTATGTATGCAGCCAGCGTGATGATCACATATCATTACTGGGTGGAGAGCTTCCTAGGCTGAAGTCAACAGCCAATGGAATCAACGGCCACATGTCCATGAGCAAGGCAAGCTTACAGTTTAGAGGATAGCCTCTTTCTTCACCAGGAAAATCTGGTGGAAGAACCAGTTTAGTTACCAGTGACCTGACCATGTGGTAGATAGTACTGGGTTTCAGCTAAGATATGTAGAGGGAACTAGACATCTGCAAAATGATCCTATCATCATGGCACCAATGACAATGATGATGGAGTAGCGTTTTGATATTTAAAGTTTTATAAATAATTTTTAACTATATATTGTTGATAATTTTTATTGCATATTTTATTTTATTTATTTATGTTTTATTTAATTTATTTTTATTTAATTTATTTTTATTTTATTTAATTTTTTTATTTTTATTTTCTTTATTTTATTTTTATTTTAATCTATTTTGTTTATTTTTATTTTATTTTCTTTATTTTATTTTTATTTTATTTTCTTTATTTTCTTTTTTATTTCATTTTTCTTTATTTTATTTTTATTTTCTTTATTTTATTTAATTTTTCTTTATTTTTTATTTTGTTTTATTTTACTTATTTTTATTTTTTTTTATTTTATTTTTATTTTTATTTCATTTTATTTATTTTTTATTTTATTTTATTTTTTATTTTTATTTATTTTTTTTTATTTTATGTATTTTATTTTTATTTTATTCTATTTTGTTTATTTTTATTTTATTTTATTTATTTTATTTTTATTTTATTTTATTTATTTTCTTTTTTATTTCATTTTCTTTATTTTATTTTTATTTTCTTTATTTTATTTAATTTTCTTTATTTTTATTTTGTTTTATTTTACTTATTTTATTTTATTTTTATTTTATTTTTATTTTTATTTCATTTTATTTATTTTTATTTTATTTAATTTTTTATTTTTATTTTTTTTTTTTTATTTTATGTATTTTATTTTTATTTTATTCTATTTTGTTTATTTTTATTTTATTTTTATTTTATTTTATTTTATGTATTTCATTTTATTTTATTCTATTTTGTTTTATTTTTATTTTATTTTATTTATTTTATTTTTTTATTTCATTTTCTTTATTTTATTTTTATTTTATTTAATTTTTTTATTTTTATTTTGTTTTATTTTATTTATTTTTATTTTATTTTTATTTTATTTTTATTTTTATTTCATTTTATTTATTTTATTTTTATTTTATTTATTTTCTTTAATTTTTATTTTATTTTATTTATTTTTATTTTATTTTATGTACTGAAAGATTCAGCTTACAGGTTCAAACTGAAAACAATTTCTGAATTAATACAAGCAATTTCTGATAAATCTTCTGAAATTAGTGTAGAAATATGACAAATGGTTTGTAGAAGTGTTGCTGATAGGGTTCAGCCTTGTATTGAATATGAATGGGAGAATTTTGAGCATGTTAAATCACTTGTTAATCAAATCAATCAAGTTGGTTTGATGTGACAATACTTATAAATTTTCTTAAACTACTGTAATTTATTATTGTTCAATAAAATTTAATAAATAAAAAAGAGCGTTACTTTGGCCTAGGCCCTTTATTATGCATTTTTATTTTTAAAAAAGTTAAGAATTCAATCAAAATATTAAAAAAAAAAAAGATTTATAACAGTTTACAGAACAAATATTCAATTTCTGAGTTCTATAAAAAAAATTTGAAACACCATCAAAACCTCTACCACATTTTCATAGAATTTTAAAAAGTTTTTGACCAAATGTGGCATGAAGCATTGTGGGAATCAATGAATAAATATACAGGGTTGCTCAGTTCTTTGAAGAAATTTGCATGAATTTAGTAAATGAGGAATAAGTCTTGTAAAAAAAGCTTTATTTGAGAAAAATTTGCATGAACAAATTTGCATGAATAATCATGAGAATCTTTTTGACTTATCTACTTAATGAATCTGCCATTAGCCTCAATAATGGGTTCAATACGAAGTCTGAAATGTTGAATCAGATGATCTTTATCTATTTTGGACATTGTGCTAGCTATGGTGGACTTCAGAGACCTCATAGAGTTATTCAGGCATTGATTAACTTCTCTCTTGATGACACCCCATATATAATAGTACAATTGATTCAGGGCTGGAGATCTAGGAGGCCATATGCTCATCCATTCTTGGATTGTCTTAGCCATATGAGATGATGGTGTAGAGTCTTGTTCATAGGCGTACAGTCTTCGTTTGCTTACACCCTCTAACCAAGCCCTCACAACCCTCTCTAGTCTCCTTATAATCCTTGGCCCTTAAGCCATGTGGAAAAAAGTGAGGAGTCATAACCTCTTCTCAGTTGTCATGAATTCCAGAACCATCACAGTTGCCAGAAATTTTGTTAATGCTCTTAATTCAACACTGGTCCATTAATACCATTCAATGGTATTATTATTATTATTATTATTATTATTATTATTCAATTATATTATTATTATTATTATTATTGGAATAATTTCAAATTATGTTTCAGCCAAAAATTGTGAGAAGAATCCCAGTCTCGTATAAAATAATTATACAAATATATAATATTATATAATATAATAGCAGCCTTGTGCCACATCTACACTTACACACACACACACACACACACACACACACATATATATATATATATATATATATATATGGTGGACTCTCCCATTGTATTCGTGTATGAAGGTAAAGCAGCTCAGTTCCTAGGAACCGAAAGCCAGACACCAGCACATATGATTTGATTATAATGTTGAAGGCTTTGTGCAGAACCAACCACACTTTTTGAAGGGCTGAACTACATGCCACAATGTCCCCAAATAACTCTCCACAAGTTTTGAATTCAGAGTTGTACTTCTCCTAGACCAGTTGCCATCCAAGGCTATAGAACCCAGTCTGTCCTGCTGAAGGGAGAAGAGGATTAATACCTTCCTAATTCCTAAACTGGTTGCCACCCAAAGTTATAGATCCCAGTTTGACTTACTATTTATTCATACCTAGGGAGAGAAGAGATGGATTCATACCTTTCCCAAGGGTTTTTGCATGTAGGTGAATGTAATGAATTTGACTAGAATTTAAACTCCGAGCCACTATCCATTACTCCACCATATAATACATTTATTTTTATTACTTCAAACATTATTATTAGTGGATACTAGTATTTAAAAAGACACTCCATTTTCATTTTAAATAGTACCTAATCCATCTATCTGCTGCTGCATTTGTAAAATCTGAAATACGTATCTGTGTCTCCCTTTGTAGGAGAAGCCAGCATTTTACACAGCATGCTTTACCACTTGGCTACAGCAAGCCTCACTGTTAAGCAAAACTCTATTTTCCCTCTTAAGGAAAGCGTACATCCACATTCAGATATTTTTTTCAAATATCCCATATCTGCTCAGTTTTGCATTCGAAACGTAAACAAAGCAGTTTCTAAAGAATTAATGGATTTTATTTTTAATCTGGCATTGACTCTTTGATAAAACGAATTGAGTTCTCCCAGTTACTGGTGTGTTTATCTGAAAATAAATACTTTTAAATTCACCTTCATCATCTGTCCAATGGCTTAAGGATAGATTCTCCGACTGATACCAAATCAGTTGGGTTTTTATCCCGGCTTGAGCCAATCGGATGTCTAGTCACACTGATGAGCTGTGAAACAGCAAAACAGTCTGTCTGTGGATAACTCCGTTTTTCTCCTTCCCTTTCCACACATCATTTCCATTGAGTTGACCGATTTAATAGGTCAATGTCTGATTCTTACCCACTCCTTCCTCAATATTAAGTATGATAATAGAAAGAAATATAAAAATAAATTTTAAATTTCTCCCTTGCCTCTCTAAACTCTACCATGTCTCTCACACCATTCCTCGCTACCTTCTATGTTAACTCATATAAGCTTTATACTGCCAGTCAAAAGTGTAAATTTTAATTTCATTTTTCGTTTCACCTTTACAAATTTTCCAATGATATTCTTTGTCTATGATCTCAACTTGATACCACAGAGGGTGGTGATCTCCCTTTTCAGAGGGGAATTAACAGGAGATGACTGACATCCATTAGACATGCCATGTGGAACTAGAACATTCTATCCCAGTGAGCAAAATAAAAGGTTCAGTTTGACATTTCAATCACATGAAGATTTTATGTTACATAATACATCTTTCTTAAAATAGGCATGGAGGACTGACCAGCAACTCCTACAAGTTCAATACAGTAAAACAAAAGCTTCCTATCATTGAAGCTTTTCTCGAGGGCTATCTGTAAAGAGACGGGTACCGCAGTATAATAAAGTAAGTATATTTATTTCTTATATCTGGACACATATTTCTCTGGAATGCCAAGGTGCACCTAGATATCTTCCAGGGTGTACCAGTGTGTCCAGGCACTCCATTTGAGAACCACTGCTATAAGGTAATACCTTAGGCAAAAGAAGAAGAAGAAACAAATGTGCTAACAATGTCACTGAGCGATCTGAAAGATCATTTAC